CCGTTTGCGCTTGCATTCACCGCACGCAAGCTGCTGCTTGAGCCAAAGGTGTCAGTCAACGCCAAGATTGTCGTTGTTGGCCCGTCACCAGCTGCCGTCGCGTGCCTCGAGGACCTCTGCTACAGGTTGATGTGTGTGTGTGTGTGTGTGGATGTGCATGTGTATGTGTGTGTGTGTGTGTGTGTGGATGTGTGTGTGTGTGTATGTGTGTGTGTGTGTGTGGATGTGCATGTGTATGTGCGGATGTGCGTGACACACGTGTGACCTATTGCCCACGTGTGACTTCGTGTGTTCTGTACGATTTCCACCACCTACCACCCCTCCTCATCTTGCTCATTCCCGTCATGTCGCTCTCTCCTCCTTCTGCTTCACGTGCAACCCCGCCCCCCCCCCATCAGGGCGCACCTGCGCTTCAACAACCTCACGTATGTGTGCGAGGATGGCGACTTTGTTGGGTGGGACGCGCGCGGGCAAGCCTCGTCGCACATGCTCGCTGCCGATCACACGTACACGAGCAGCCAGCTTGTCAAGCTTGGCCTCAACGCGTCTGTAACTGTTCTCCGCGGCCGCGTCGCCGAGATCAACAGAGACGAGAAGGTAATTGGTGTGCTTGTGAAACAAGAGAGGGAGATGGTGTGTGTTTATGTGCGTGTGTGTGTTGTGTGCGCAGCGTTGCTCGCGCCTTTCAGTTTGTGTGTTTGCTTGAACTTAACCCCTCACCACTCCTCACGTACGCCGCCACTGCTTCAGTTTGTTGTTCTGGATGACAGTGATCGCGTCGACTACAACGTCCTCATGTACACCCCAGACATCCAGGTACGGATATGTGTGTGTGCGTGTGTGTAGTGCTGAGTGTGGAGTGTGGAGTGTGAAGAGAGAGAGTGTGTGTGTGTGTGTGTGGAGAGAGAGAGAGTGTGTGTGTGTGTGTGTGTTTGTGTGTGGTCGTTCATTTGGTTCTGCAGCAAGTTGGCACCTCCAAGAAGTGTGTTTGCGAGCACGTTCAAGTTATCATCTCATTCTGTGGTCCGTGACGTTGCACCACATCCACACACCGCTCTCTCAGTACATTTCCACGCTTGATCCCGAGCAAGAGCACATGGCCCCGCACGGCGTTCACAGCCCGAGCTCTCACGCTGCTGTCGAGGAGGTGAGCATCAACAGCTGTATGTGTGTGTGTGTGTTTAGATGTGAAACAATCGCTTGTTGAGCCCATGAGCTTCGCCAACAGCCCATCACTCTTCATTCACTCAATCCAATGAGATGTGTGTTTGTTATCAGCTGTGCGAGGAAATCAAGGGCGTCCACATCCCAGAGCACAACACGATTCTTGTACGTCTCCGTGATGATCACACCTGCAATGCTCATGGCACATCCACGTCCACCACCACGTGCTTGCACGCACACACACACATACATACACACATACATACACACACATACACACACACGAAGCACTTGATCATCATCATCATCATCATCATCATCATCATCATCATCATCATCATCATCATCATCATCATCATCATCATCATCATCATCATCATCATCATCACTGCCACCACCCTGTGTCCGTCTGCAGGTGTACGGTGCGAGTGCGGATGCGTACAGCGCGGCGGCGGCGGTGCTGGAGCTCGGTGCTGCACCCCAGAACATCGTCTTCGTCAAATCGCCGCCCGCACAGGCAGATCAGGACGACATTCGGGTGTGTGTGTGTGTGTGTGTGTGTGTGTGTGTGTGTGTGTGTGTGTGTGTGTGTGTGTGAAGGATCGAACAGTGGGCACAGGGAGCCACAGATACGCACATCTGCGCTGTCACTGCATCTCACCCTGTTCGACCACATCCACGTGCTGCTGCTGCTGTTGGTGCTGTTAGGGGCGAATTGGGCACGCTGACGTGGAGCACTATCTTGACCAGTCCCTGGCGCGTCTTGGCGTGCGTGTGCATCAGCCATGCACCCTCGAACGCTTCGTCGCAAACTCTGTGCGTCGTAGATCATGAGTGGGACGATATGTGGTGCTGGAGGCAGCATGTGGTGTCCCTGTGCCAACCTGCAGGCAACACAAAGCAAGACGCACACACACACACACACACATGTACAAATGCATGCTTGACCCAACGCGCTACAGTCCTGCTCACACTAGTGCTACCTCGAACAAATGCATCAGGTGAGCGAATTGACTGGCGCTGTGTTCCGGAGTGACAGCGGGTCGACATACGAGGTGCAGTGCCAACTCTGCCTCAATCTCCCGCAGCGACGCATTGCACGACGCGACTTCCTGCCGCTGTGCGAGGCAAGCATTGTCTTCAACCAGCGTGTTGTCATCGACAACAACTTCCGGACCAACGACCCAGCGATTCTCTCGGTTGGCAACGAGATGGAGTGTGGAGGCAAGGATGGACGGGTGCGTGGATGAGTGGATGTACATTGAAGAGATGGACGGTATTCTTGCGGAATCAAGTACTAACTTGTACACTCACGCACACACACACACCCGCACAC